TTGCGTCCTTATCCCGAGCGGCGCCGCTCGGCGGGGTATCGAGCATCAGTCCGACAGTGAGGTCGCGTCGCTCCGCCTTCACAGGGCAAAATTCGGCGTTGGCGTAGACACGGAAGAAGACAGAATCAAACCCGCTTGTCTTGTATGCTCCGCCGCCCTTGGTAAGCAACTGCTCGAGCTTCGTCTGCTCGGTTTTCCTGCGAGCACGTCCTTGTGATTGCAGCATCGTGGTGACGTCATTGTCAATTGTGACGATCGAGCCCCGGATGGGCGCACTGTCGTGCAAGTCAGTAAACAGGTAGGAGACCACAAACATGGTAGACTCACATAAGTTCTTCCCTGAGCAAGCGAAATTGGATATCGAGATGTCGCTCCATTGAATCAGGAAACAGATGATGGGGTGCATCCGGAGAGAATACGGGTAAATATTGCGCTGAAGGACACAGGAGCTCATCGTGCGTAGGTGCAACCCTTACTTGCGAGATATCGGCGAAGTCATTGTCATGGCGAGGCCCCTCAGGGCGAAGCTCGCCCGGCGGATCGTACGTGTATTTGAGCTGCATGATCTTTGCTTGCCGCCGCTGCTCAGGCGTCATCCCCGTGTGAGGTGCCTGATGGGTCTTCTTCTTGATGCCGGACTCGCGGTCGACAATTGATACAAGACGATTGATTTCTTCGCGGAGTTGGTTGAGAACCAAACGACGAGTAGCTGGGTCAGCGCCGGTGACTGTATCATGAAAGGTCGGAGGGTCCGAGCAAACATCTGCGGCCCATGTATTGAACCAGCTGGCGAAATCCTGGATGAACCCTGCAAGGTCTGGATGCTGTTTGATGGCGTCTTTGAAGCGATTAAGATACCTGCAGCAGAGCTTCAGCGTGCAATCAGTACGTCGGCTTTGCATTCGTACTGAAGATAAACCGTGGTGAGAGATTTGAAGACCAACACTCCGTCGAGATCGCTTTGCAGCATGGGTGGAAGATTGGGGGTGGTGTCCCTCCACGTCTTCGTTCCAACCATACCTCCAATGCAGGAGCGCATGACTTCTTGGATCTCCTCGTAGTTATGTTCTAGAATAGTGTAAAGGTGGCTGGTGTCATAGAAATTGATTACTTCGTGTATACTGTATTGCCACAGGCAGCGTACTTTGTATTCTTGTGAAGTGTTGTCTTGAGGATGAGATCCGAACTCATAAACTGTGACACGACAGATTAGCCGAAAATTACGTGAAAACGGTAGAGCCTACCTCGAATATTGGAAAGTAGCCTCTTTGGAACGACAAGTTGCCCGTGCGCTGGCCAATGTAGTGGCTCACTGGTCGAAAGCGGAGGACGTCACCGATCCTGATAACTCCATTTCCCTGCGGGTTCATTCATCAGATCCGCACTACAGCTGTCGGAGGGCGCTTACATTGACGATATGTTCCAAGAACGACTTCGCATTTCGTCAGGGGAGTATTATGATAGTTGACACATCAGACTGACCTGTGCATCATCTGACGTCTGCGTCGAGGATTAGCGTCCCTTCTGTACCCTACATGATGATAGACTCACCCAAGCCTTGTTACGATCGTTAACACTGGCCAGGATTCTTACAAATCCCTGAACGCGCCCTGCATTCTCGAAATGATAATTGTCCCTAAGGAATGGTCTGATATGGTTGTGAGCCTCAACCGGGCTGACCGTGTGACGTTCAACTTGACCAACGCCAGCGTTGACAGCGAGGCCCTCAACGGAAAAGAAATCTGGCGCGTCCAAAGCTGCTCCTGACGTCGGCGTGCTCGTCATCGGCGTGCTGGTTTCCGCGCCTGCAGATGCATTCGAGCCTTTCAAGTGCTTGAAAGGGCAGTCAAAAGCCCGATTGCAGCTGCCGGCCGTCCAAAATGTTCTGCATACGCCGCCTGGTGCTTGCGCGTTATTTGCTGCCGCGTTTCCGGACATGTTGGGTGTTTGTGGCGATGCACGACTTTGTCCTTCGCTGTGGTTTACACCCTGGCCTCGACCGCGACCACTCCCACCGCGATTTCTACCATTGCCTCTGTTGGCTGCCCTTCCGTTTCCTCGATTTCCGCCGCCTCTCGCGGCTTGTCCTAAAAGGGGCCGCGTCAGCGCGATAAGTCGTCGAACGGAGGACGGCCTCCGACCCGCGCCAGTTTACACACCTCGTCCCCTGTCTGCCATACTGATATCGACACGTGCAACCGCAAACAAGTTCGTGCGGTGTTGAATGTGGTCGAGAGAAAGGAGATACCTGTGTTCGCCTCGTGTAGGCAGACGCTTTATCCTAGGACGCTCGAACAAACATGGAAATCAAGCGGCCTGTATTTGGTTCTTTTCCTCGTACAATTCTTGGGAGCCTTAATCCCCAAGAACTGCGCGAGGAACTAGGGTTCTAAATGCAGGCTATAGATCGCGGAGAGAGCCTGGTAAATTGAACGGGACGAGTTCGCGGACTCCGGCATCGGGGCTGTTACCCGATCACGTGATGTTTGGCGCTTAGCACACGTCATTTGACAACACCTCGACAACCTTATACCAGGACAGCAAGTTGATTCGTAAAATTGTAAGAATACTCCCTGCAATGCAATTTATCAGGTAATTAATACCGAAGCTCAACATTTCCGAGCCCAAAATTTCCGAGCCCGAGCCAT